CTCAACTAAATTTTGAAGAATTTATGACTTCTCACAGAAGTAGAAAATATTGTGAACCGACAACCTTTGACTTACATGTGTAGTGACTGATATGAGCCTGAAAATTTAAACTAGCTCATTTTATGTTGATCGAACATAAAGCTGAATATCCATACAACTTTACTGAGATCCTGAATGCTGGTCCAACAAAAGAAAAGTCTAATGAATCAAAACCAATATCAAACAAGACGTACAAAATAAATTTATGGAAATGGAGAAATCTATAGTTTCATGATTTAAGAAATGCTTATTTCTTTGGTATCCCTGAAATTAAAAGAATCTTGAAGTCGGTGATGTAGTTTCACCAAATCTAAGTTTTTGTGGGATTTGAGTTGCAGAATTAGTCTTGAAAGGCCATGATACACTTGTGTTCCAATTATTGTGTGAACATGCTTGGTGAAAACATACAGTGGGGAATTTAAGAGACCTATACAACTGATTTATACCATGGAACTTTTACTAAAAAAGTACTGAATCAACGAATTTTATATAATATTCAAATATTTCATGTATATGTATGTAACTTTTATTTAATTGATCAAATTGTTGCTTGTAATTTACCGTTTATAATACAATTCAATGTTTACTTGTTGAGTAATATTTGAATTTTATGCTATTAATTGTGCCTGTTATTTTCATAGAGCTTCCACTTCACTATTTTATGTGTATATCAGGTAAACGCACAATGTATTGATATATAAATTGCTTTCTTAAATTTGAATTTAGTTGTATGATGAATTAATGATAATTTTGTAAAAATTATCAGCTGCAGTGTTGAGAAAATCCGCCAAAAGATTATTTGTAATGCAGCTAAAGAATGCTTCTCTTCTGTATACAGAGAACAGGGTTCGTAGCGGTCCTCATAAGTGCTTATAAGTCCTTATATTTGAAAATAAAATATAAAGGCCCTTATAGGTGCTTACTTTTTCTTTAAAGCCCTTATTTTTTTTTGTTTTTAGTGCTTATTTTTTGCTTTTAGTGCTTTTTTTTTTTTTTTTTTTTTTTTTTAATGCTACGAACCCAGAGGCCTTAATCCCGGAGTACAGACGTACTCAAATCGAGCTCTCTCAAGACCTTATCACTGAACCGGCACAGCAGGCCATCAAAATCTCGGGTTTCGGAGACCACGGCGGGGGTGGCAACAAAGACTGTGATAACCGTGTTTATGGCCGTCAGTCTACTTACTCGGATGGAAGCCACTACCGTCCGGGACGCGTAATGGCAGACCGCACATTGAGTTGAACAGTGTTAAGCGAATTTCGCTTACTGCGCATGCTTGATGGTGCACCTTTGGCGCGGGGAGAAATATTGGCGACTAAGCAACCCTACGCTAGTTTATTCGTGATCACCATGGCTGTCGATTGTGTTCGAGTGATGTTTACAATTGTAATGTTGTGAACTTTGCTTATTAGTTATTTTAACGTCCATACCGATTGCACTTGCTTATTTTTCTAATATATATTTCATTGTAATTTGTCAATAATAGTGCATTTAATATTTGTTAACATATGTTCGTAATAATTCATTATTTAAATGTAATTTTTTTACATGTTATAATTCAGTAATTGTAAACTGGAGTATCTCGCTTAGTTTGTTAGCATATATTCACGCTTTTATGTTATCATTTCAAAGAATTTAATAACTAGCATTAAGAAATTGTAAAACTTCATCAGTGTTATTTGCAAGCACTTGTTATATCCCTCAGTGTTTCTTTATGTATGTACGAATGGAACGTATGGTAAATCCTGAATTGTTTTTATTGCTTAAAAGTATAATAAATAAATTTTCAACTAATATATCCTAAATTTCAGTCTTTTTCTGAACGAAAATTTGTACAGTTCCAAAGGAATGTGCAGAATTTCATAGGTATTATATTTTTTACATTTTGAATGCAAACACTTTGAATGCAAACACTGCTTCACATTACTTCGTAATAATTTCAGTTTTCTAGTTGTTTGAGCAATACAGCAAAAAATAGTATTTTATTTAACACAGTAATTAATTTACATATACATTATACTCTATGAAGATTTAAACGCCAGATTTGTTTACAATCAGATGGCGGTACATCTACCATATACCGTATTTATCTTCTTTTCAAATCGCGCCAACATAGTAATTACGCCAAATTGTTTTCTGGGCATGCGCAGTATGCGACATTCGTTTAACACTTCAACTCAATGTGCGGTCTGCCATTACGCATACCGGCAGCTGTTGATTCCAATTGCGTAATATCACATAGGGAAGAATTACGGCGCACGTATTGCGCAATAACGCTTGCAATATTTTGCAGAGATAATTAATTTTGATGTTTTGTCCGAGATTTGTTTATGAACACTTAAAAGAGTTTTACTGTGCTTGCTAAGCAGAATATTTTTCAATTCCATTGGTTTACTTTTATATGATGCGCATATCGAAATGTCAAAAGCATTTATTTAGCGGAAAAATTTAAAGAGCGGTTACAGTCTCCCCCCCCCCTCCGCTCCTCTTTTTCAAGTTACGCTCGACTGTGCAAATATTCGCCAATTTCCAAGTATGCGGGTTAAGATTTTACTGTTAAAGGATGACTGCATGAAGCAAATTTCTGTCTTCTGATTTCAGAAATGTTCCTCTTTTTTACTTAAATTACTTTGCTTGCAATATCTGTTAGGAGAAAACTGATATACAATGAAAAATTTAGAAAATGTTCAGAATTTAGATTTAAATTATTTAAATATCAATATGAGTGGAAAAATAAAATTGTATTTATTATTAGGTTCCAAGTGAATACAATAAATATGCCTTATTATTATTTTTTTTCTCTATTTTGAACTGAAATTTCATCATTAAATCTTGTAATATAGTTTAGTTCTGCATAGTTTTTTTTTTTTCCTCTCATTGTAAACTAGTTCTGTAAATTGAACTATTATTTAAAATTAAAAAAAAAAAAAAAAAAAAAAGTTATTATTTTCCATGGTTGAGGTAATGCTCATTCTTTGTTAATAAATACTGCATTTCTCATATTTTAAATTACAAGTCTAATTTTTAAGGTTATGCAGTTGTGTATAATGTAATTAGACAGGTGCTTATTTTTTTCTTAAAATGTTCTTGAAAAATGCTTATAGGTGCTTATTTTTTTAACTATAATGTGGCTATGAACCCTGAGAGAATCTTACTCGTTTGCACTGCAGTGTTGATAAGAGAACACCGGTGAACCGCTGTGCATTTCTGGGCATATAAAACTATTCATCAAAGCTGAATTTTGTCTTTTCATATTACATACTTCTATAGTTATGAGAGAGTATACCTGCTGTAATGGACAATATATTTTATGTTACTTTTTAGTAGTGCACTGTGTAAATAGGGTAGTGGCTTACTACTTTGTTATTAGATTGATTTTTGCCCATAATATTGTTATTAATAGCTTTTTTTGTATAACTGATCAATTAAATTTAACAATAATTAAATAAGTTACTCAAATATAATTAAATTAAATAAATAAGTTACTCAAATGTCCCGTTTTGTCTAGCATTTGTTCTTATTCACAGTAAATCTAGGAACATATTACCAGCGGATGCAGGGAGAGTACTGTATTTGAAAAATATATTAATGAGCGAAAATGACCATCGCCACATTTTTCAGTGAACTTGTCTGGCTGATGTGATGATATGGGAATCGTATTTAACTGCTGGTGGAGAAGGTGAGGTATCATTCTTGCATTTACTTTTGCAAGTGGTATGAAAGGCTGCTGATCTAAGTTAATTTGAAAGAAGGCAAATGGTAACAGTTTGAAGACACGATCTGCAAAAATGCATGGTTGGTAGGTTGTTTACAATCTGCCATGTTAGTATTTATGCAAAGTCTATAAATGATGGTGAAATCAGCAGTAGATGCCAATGTCTTGAACGTATACGCATCATCAAAGAAAAAGGACATTGCAGACTGTTGCACTTGCTTGGTACAGCAAATCAGCGTCAGGACAATGGCTCAGCTAACAGCCCAGTACAATACAGATCCAAGTGCAAGTGTTTCGGAATGCACAGTTCAGCGGACACTGTTGGATATGGGATTGTTCAGCAGAAGTCCCACTCGTGCCTCTGTTGACCAAAATAAGCTATGCATACGGTGGGCTCGAGAACATCGAGAGTGGACTATGGGTAAGTGGAAGACAGTTGCCTGGTTGGATCAGTCATGATTTCTTATTCATCACATCAATGATCGTGTTAGGGTATGCCGTCTTCCAGGCGAATAGTTGCTCCCCATGTACAACAGGTCATACACAGGCTGCTGGTGGTGGTATTACGTTTTTGGGGGATGTTCACATGAGCTCTGAAACTCTTAGTTGTGGTAGAATAGACCATGAAAACTGCAGACTATCTGAATATAGTTCCAGATCAGTGACACCCTCACATGCCTCTGTCTTGTCAACTGGAAATGGAATCTTCCAGCAGGATAACATCCCTTGTCACCAAGGCTCAAATCGTTTTGGAGTGGTTTGAGGAGCATAAGAATTAATTCCAATTAATGTATTAGTGCATAACTTGCCAGATCTTAACCTGATAGAGCACATTTGGGATGTCATGTAGTGGCAGCTCAGAACTCAAACATCACGATGTTGGAATGTCTAGACTTTGCGTGACCGCTGCTTAGACATTTTGTACAACCTGTCTCCAGTCATCCAGGAACTTGTGGCATCCATGCCAAATTGAGTTGCAGCTGTTTTGCAGGCCAGAGGTCATGCAATGTGTTATTGAGTAGGTAGTCATAATGTTTTGGCTCATCAGTACATATAGATATTTGTAGGCATACTTTCTTAATCTTTTTGACACACTGTAATTGTTATTTTGAATGAATTTTTGGATTAATTGATTATTTGTTTATCAAACTTAATATCCATCCATTTATTACAGTTGAGTAAAGTTTTATATTGCTTTTTTTTTTTTTTTTTTTTTTTTTCTCTCTCTCTCTCTCTCTCTCTTTAGCCATTTAAATACAGTAGTCAAAACTGGTTTTTCTTCAAAGAAAACTCAGAACAGTGTTAAGTCTAGCGTAAGTATCTTTTAAAAGTTTTTTAAAACTTGCTAATGAAACAGTTTTTATTCGGATGTTTTGCCTGCTAATTTTAAATGCTAACCTTAATGCTAATTTTAAAACATCAGGTTTCAAAAGACATAGGGTCACGCAGAGCCCAGTTAAAAGCTGCAGCATTTGAACAACAAGCTACATATTACTTGAGAAATATTTCTGGGAAATCAGACCCTGATGATCAAGTCGATGATCAGAAAAACACAGGTGGTATTTTAATTTAAATTGAATGTTTAAATCTAAGAGAGATATAACTTGCCTTTCTTACAGAACTTATTTTTTGAACCGATTTAGATGGAAAGTTCCCTAATTCTTCAAAAAAGGCAATGCGATATAAAGCTCGTGTGCCAAAGCATCTGAGAAAAATTGGGCGACCAAAAAATATTCCAGATCAAGAATCGGATAAAAAGTCTGAATCAGACAGTGAATCGAATGATGAAAGTTTTCTTCATCTTGCTAGTGACTTGCTGCCTTCTACATGTAAGTTAATCTCTTTCTCTTTTTTAATGCATGAATTAAAAGACTTCCATTTGATTATTATTACTTTGTTATTATTTCGTAATTTATTTAAGAATTTATGAGTTACTGGCATCGGATTTAGAACAAGCATTTTTAACATCAACTATCGCATACTTTCTTCATTGCTTAACTCAGTATTCTTTAAATGGCATTTAGAATTAAGATTCACTTTTTTATTATCATACATTCACTTTGTCACACAATCATTCAGTTATATGGTGTGGAGTTTTGCTTTTATTAGTCATATTGTTTATTTGAATTAAAATATATCTTCTGAAATGGAAGGTTTTGAAATAACAATGAGTTTTATGCCAGATTTTTATACACCATTAATTTGAAGTACATTTTAGGAAACTGTAAATTAATTTTTTTTTTTACATGTGCACTTATATTTTTCTAATTACGGCTAAGTAATGGTATATAAAATTTTAAAATTTTTCTGAGTCTGCTAAATGAACATTTATTACGTAGAATAAACTAAATGACTTAAAGCATTAGTAAAAACAGCATGTTTTACTGGCAGAAGTGAGTGCATATGTATACACACATAAATACACAGACTCCAGACATGCTATATGCATATTTTCAATTAAACATTTTTACTAAATAACTGAGTGTTTTAAAAATAGTTTCTTCAAATAGCAGATATTGCCAGGAGGCAGAATGATATTTATTGTTTTGTATTTCATTTTAAAGTAAGGTCCATAAATTAGTTTATTATTAGAAATATCTCATATGAAGTGCTTAAAAATATTCATCATTAATTGTGGCTCATTTTGTGGATGTGTTATGGATTATAGTTGTTATTAGTTACCTAACTGTTAAATATTTTTACAAGTACTCAGCTGCGGTAAGACAGCTTCTCCGCAAAGCACGTTTAGGTTTGCCAGAAATTTTCAAGGGAAGGCAGGGTTGCCAGATGTGGCACAAAATTACCCATTAGGCGACAAAATTGGTAATATGCCCTAGACGGCACAAGAACATTCTGTAATTAATTCTTAGTGTTTTTTCCGAGAATGTTCTTGAAAGCAGGTCAAAAGCTATATATACCCTGCCTGTATGCAGAATAGAGAGTATCTTGAGCAGTAGAATTGTAAGTTGAGTTTAGTAATAGTGTTTTTAGTTCAGGATTAGCTTAAGAGCGACCGAACTGAGTTGGAAGCTGTATTTCAGGAACATTTGTCCAACAGTATTTCGAAAAATCCCCCCCAGGATGATGATTTTTTTCAGGATTTATGATATGTCTTTCAGATCTTGCACTAACTGATTTTTCATCTCTTCAGCCATGTCATCAATGCTGTGTTTCACAATGTTTTCAGAAATCAGTATTTTTGAAAGTTTTTGCTTACTTTCTAGTTCAAGAACAATATCAGTTGCTTTCACTAGACAGAATTTGATTGTTTTTTTTTCCAATAATGTGACATTTCTTGGCCACAGCGATAAATAGATATAACTCATATGAAGCTCTGAGTGCTTTTTCAGATGGCTAAGCAAAGGATCCAGTGTTATCCATTTCCATATGCTTCAAACTTACACATTTTGCAGGAAAAAAGTGGCATTAGCTTGTCTGTCGACAAATGTTGCTCCAGATAAGATATCATGGCAGTACATTGTAACAAATAACACATTGTTTCAGATTGACACATTTTTTTTATAGCAACAAAACCATGTTAATATAATCATCATTGTATTTGCTTTTTTCACTGAACTTACGAAGAAGTTCAAAAAATAAATAAATAAAAACTTAAGTTAGTTTATTTTTGCATCAAAAATACATGTAACTGCACTGCTCATATGATCGACACTGACTGAATTCAGGCCCAACTAAGACTCAAGCACAGTGCGGCGGGATGACATTGATCATGTGGGGAAACAGAGTACAATTTGTCCTGTCCTCCTTTGGATATTGTCGTGCCTCTCTTGGCGGGTCCTCTCCCACTTTCAAAATCAATATTTCAGTGCAACCTCTTTTGAAAGAAATGATATTTCAGAGAATAAAAATGAACATCAGGCTTGAATATTGCCTTTCAAAAGTGGCCACTTCTGCAGAGATGAATATCATCGTAATTTGTAGTTAATTTTATTAAACCTTCATGCAGTAAGAGTTCCTCCCTAAAACTGTAAAATTCCCATAAAGGCCATCATTAGTAATTTTTTTCTGTCTCTCTGTGTGTGTGCGTGTTGGTGTTGGTTGATTCAAAAAGGAACCTTTCACTTTGTACCAAGACTCCTCGTCTTTCAATATATATACTACCTAAATTATCCAGTTTTCAAGATGTACTTAAAGGTATCATGATAAATATTTTTGAAGGTATACATATATATGGCTTGGCTGCTTGGAGGTTTGTTTCAGTGTATTTAAAATCATTTGGCTATAAATAGAAGGAATTTGTAAGATGATCCCCTCATGGTTCCAGAAATTTTGATGTTATGAAAGTGACAATCTTAGGGATATGCAGTACTGAAGTTTGTTTACATTCTAAGAAACACTAATCATTTTCATCATAGGCTTGCCTTTAGGAGATATTGCGATGAGAAATTTTTCTAGTTATGTGAATTGGGATTTATTAGCTGGTTTCAAAAAACTTAATTAAGAACACTTCCCATACCTCTTATCTATTGCTGTGTAAAACACTGATTTTATCATATTTTTGGAATAACCATTTTGAATTTGTGTGGTTTTTAAAAATTCTGAGTGTGCTTATAAAATTACAAAATCAATAAATAGATTAACTGCTTGCATGTCTTTAGGTTGTTGCCGCAGCATATATGGATCTATTTTTCATTGTCTGCCCTAACTGTGAAACTTGAACCATCAGGAACACATTTCATAGATGGCCAGCTTTGAAGGGTGTCTTGAGGGGTGGGGGAGCAAATGAGTGAAAATTATTTGGGGCTATCATGGAGTTCTCTGGAGGCTGCTAAAGAAGGCCATAATGATTCTGAAAGACACTCCTGGGTTATTCATATCATGTAAGCCTTTGTATCATTGGGGTGAAACATAAGCTTGGATGTTGTTGATAAATTCCAACCTGAAGTTGAAGCATTATGTCGCAGGAAGATGAAGCATCTGTCATATTAACTCTGTTTCTAGAAATCAAATAGAAACATAAAAATGTATCACAAATCCCCTTCTCCTCTAATGTACACTCTTACAGCATGGTAGTCATTTTCACATTGTCATGACATTACATCAATAATCATTGGCATTGCTCATCAACTCAGCTTGTAGTATGAATTGTACAGAGAGGGGGACAGAGTAACAGGAATTTTTGAAATGCATAGTGGCAGCCATGAGCAGGTGGCAAAACTGCGAAACAGTGACCTTGAGCAAATAAACACTCTGCCGTTTTAGTAATCATGGATCAGTGGAATGAGCAACAGACAATAATCTTAATTATTCACAAATCACACAAATCCTAATGAAGTTCCTGAGCGTCCTTTACACACTAGTAAGGTGACAGTATGGTATGCGGTTTCATTACATGGGATCGTTGGACCTTATTTTTTTTTTAAATGAACAGGGGATCACAGTAACTGTCAATGCAGATCGTTATGTGGAGATGTTACAATCTTTCATGACACCTGAACTGAACAATTTTCCACACATTCAAGAAACCTGGTTTCAACAGGCTGGAGCAACATCACACACTGCACAGCAGTCAGTGGAAGTTGTGCGACAATTTTTCGATAACTGTGTGATCTCAAGCTTCGGCAACATTCCCTGGCCCCCTAGATCGCCAAATTTGTCTGATTTTGATTTTTCTTGTGGAGCTACCTCAAGAGTAAAGTGTATATGACTTGCCCAAGAACTCTGGATGACTTAAAACAGAGAATTCAGAATGAAATCTCAGCTAAGATGTTACAGCAGTCAGTGAGGAATCCCAACAGCAGATTTCAAGAATGCGTTCGTACAGGAGGACGCCATCTAAAGGACATAATTTTTTAAAAAATGTAAATTCCATTAGTGTTTCTTAAATGGCAAGTTTTAAGGTTTCAATTACTATGAATAAAATGATTTTCTTCCGTCACTCTTGGTTTTATTGGATTCTTGAAAAGTTGCCATTTTTTTGTGTGTCACTCTGTGTATCAGTGCCTGGTAACACCTTTTGAAATTACTCACAGCTATTTCTTGTTATTCCACAACAGTTTGTAATGTGCCTACTGACTTTCCCCTTGTAGTTAGATTAGACTGGATTAGATCTGCATATGGGATGTTATTGCTGCCATCTTCGATTATTGCCTTCCTAACAAAATTGGAAATAACTCTTTATCACATGCAAGGAAGATCTCATGCAGCAAACTCATCTAACCCCGAGTAATAATGACCTGGGTTGAACTACAAATGTTTCCTAATAAACTAGTATTTCCTAATGAAAAATTTAGAATTGAACTGCAAGTGGTTTGCAGTTTTTACATTATCACTTACTTTTTTGTAGTAGAACTTCAGTCATTTAAGGTAATTGGGATCATAACTACATCAGATTTCCAGAAAAGATTAAGCTTAGTTTGCTGATACTAAATTTTAAATCATGTCAGTTTTTCTGCAATTGTTTATGTGATTAAAAAAAAAAAAAAAAAAAAAAAAAAAAAAGGTGTACAATTGTTACCATTTCATCAACCCCTTTTTCTTATTGTTAATGAGTAAAAGTGTAACTATATTGTTAATCATTTTTCTTAGTGAATAATTTTTCCCCTGCAATTAAACAAATTAAACAAATAATTCATACAAAATTTTATTTTCTAATAAAAACATATATGAAAAATTTGGAATTGAACTGCAAGTGAAGTTTTACACTATCACTAAGCAAAAAATCTGATGTGTACACCACATGACTTCCTTGTACGGAATATTAAATTATACACATTTTTTCTTGCATTTCATTTAAACTTACTGGATTGAATTAAATCTACTTCACCAAAAGCTCATAAACCACAATAGAATAAATGAATTCTTTAAA